TCCTAAGTTTAAAAACTACATTAAAAATATTTTGATCGAAAAATCATGTTACAAAATTGAAGACTACGTATTAGATAAAGATGTATGAAAAGACGACATGGCTCCAGAATCCACACAAATTTGATTCAAAGTGTATTCCATAGCATTTTAGTTTATTTGAAAAGAGCAATCCCTAGAGTTTCTTGCTCGTTCTTCTCAGGGAGGTCAGCGTAGTGAACGAGCAGTAGCTTAAATGTGACGTTTTCAAGTGTAAATTTATTTTACCTATGGAAGAAATAATCTTTGATTTTGACTTTGACTTTGAGCACGCTTTTTTTAAAAAAGGCGCAACGTTTTCATGTTTAAAAAAACAAGCAGTTTTTCCCATCTCTACTCATAAAACAAAAATCTAAACTCATCGTTGTTGCAATCAATAGCCAGCAATATAAAGTCAAGGTCCGTTACATAACCAGCCAGTAGTTAGTCAAGTGGACTGGACTAATATGAACGCCGTGTGGTAAGTCACACGTCATAGTTTCGCAACAGTAACTGACCGCTTATGAAAGTCTGATGCGCACGAGTGCTTGTAAAAACCATGATGATATACAATTTGGAATAGAGTAAAAACTTTAATAATAGAGTTACTTAGAGAGAAATTGTATATATTGTTAATTATAACGTGTGTTCAAATTATACGACTAAATTTGAAAGTATAACGAAAATTATGATTACTTCATCACGAAGGCTCTTTAATAACTTAATTCAGTTAAAATAACTAATATTGCAATTATTTTCAAATGCATTACAAGGAATCAAAGATATCCTACGGTAATAAGATAATGCAATAAGTAAATATACCTCTATATCCTTCTAAGACACAGCTATCTACGATGGGAAAAGAGCTAAACGCTCCATGCTCCAGGTCCAAGTAAGTTTATATAAAACATGTATTTTTCTGTATACCCTGTGGTCATATAGAAGATATAGCACTAAATTTGATGTATTTATGTATTCGATATTTCCTTTATAATGTACACTACAAATCTGTTTTGGAACTGGGATACCTTGGAGTTTGCTGATGGTACACAGGGAATTTACGTGGTCATAGAAACATTCGGGATCTAAATCACTTCACATGACATGTACATTTTGATGTACAGGCGGCTACTGTTGGGTAATTTTCCGAAAAATTTCAAATACTTAGTGGAATTTTTCCCCGAAAAATTCTCGAAAAATTTGAAAAATATAATTTCGAACGCTCATAACTATGTTCCACGTTTAGAAATATCTTTTTCGCCTCACTAGCTCGGAAAGGCTTTCCTTAGAATTCCGCGCGCAAAAGCGTTTTTTGTACGCTAGCGAGGAAAAGGTTTTTGAAATTCGAACTTGACGATGTACTGAAGAAAACAAATTAATGACACGTTCAAATAAGCAATTTTTCGTACAATACTTACTTATGTAATGTAAATCCGTTGGTATATTTCATTCTTATTATTGTTGACATTAAATTGACAATGTTAACTAATTGTGTTTATTAAATCATTTTAATTCGTTGAAGAACTAACATAATTTAAATAATCACTTAATCACACAAAATAAAAGTGCAAGCAAGAATAAAAATTGACGAAGTGTAAATTCAGAACGCATTCGAAAACAAACTTTTTCTTTTAATTTGAAAAAGTGATGTTTTTCAATTTTTTTTTACAATTTTGTTTTTTTTAATTGGTTTTTGGCCTTAGTAGGATATAATATGGAGATATACAACAGGTTTATTTATCATTTGATAACAATATAAAGTAGGTTTTTATTTACTTACTAAAATTTTTAACGTTGGTACAATACATCTACGCTGTTTAGATTTCCTTTGTATCAAAATTTGGTTGGAAAAAAACTTTTTGCTTTTAGCGATGAGGCTGCCTTAGCCACATTAGTTCTAAGTTGATTATGTATAGTTTTTCTTCTTGTGTATGTACAATAAAACCTTAGAATAATAACGCATAGAATGATAGTTTCATATCAAACGAACTGTCATAAGTGAGGCAAAAATCAAATTCATGTAGGCTAGTTTTAGTAGTAGGTTAATTTTTGGTTTTAGTGAATATTTATATAAAAATACAAGTTGAAACGTGTGGAATTTGATGTTAGTATCTATTTAGGTTTGTCTGAGGTATTTTTACACTCATTTACCGCACATTTCCTCATTTTTAGCTAAAATTCTGTATTTGTTCGCGGTGCAAGTTGACCTTGAGCACTGAAGGCCCGCCCGCTCGTGTAGGCCCTTTGGGAGCGCTTCAATTTGCCTCACTTAGCGTGTGCGGGCTAGGTGCTCTACTGCACCTTGTGAAAGAGTTCTTCCGGAGAAGTAGAGTCACCTTACCTATTTCTGCTGCTAAGCAGTAATGTGATGTAATATGAGCATTTAGCGTTCCGGTTTTGGAAGGGAAGGGCGATGGTGAAATTACGGGCACAAGGGACTTGTCAACTTACGTCTGAGGGTGATTCACAGATCTTTGCGATTTAAAACTCTGAGCGTCACTGCTTCTATTACGGACAGGCGTGTCGCTTACGAGCAGGCGCACGACTTGTTCGTTCCGTTACTTGCCATCATTAAAAAAATCTATTTCTCGTAGAAGGCAGGTTTCGTTGTTAATTTGGGCGAAATTGTTTTTTTATAAAATTATAAAGTGTTACAAGCGTAAAAACCATGAATTCCACTATAAAGTCCAACTCTATAAAGCAGAGTGTGCAATATAAGTAATTGGCACTCTTGTTTCTGAAAATATAATTCCATAAGCTTTTTCGAAGCGTCCCTGAAACTAAATTTAATGAACGGTGGTTTGGTAAATCACTGGGTAAGTACGTGAGCCGGTTAAATTGTGAATTGCTGTATTTCAACTCATTATTCTAACTATATTCCAAATTACCATTGTTATGACGCATTTTGTATGTTATTTTGTAATGAGGTGAACGAAATTATAAGTTTACTATGATTTTTAAATTATATGTATCATTACGAATGGTCAAGGAATATAATACACTACTGACTGTCTGCCGAAAATACATTGATTAAACAAATAAAATGAAAATAAATAAAACAAATGAAAATCGATCGAAGATGTTATTGTCCCGCGGTAATGCGACGTCTCCACGTCGAAAGAATTTAAAATAGTGTGTTTAGGATGTTTTGCTTTTTGGATACATCGTTTTATTTGTAATAGTACATTGTGTATTAAATGCGGTAAATAAGGAATTACGAACGAGACTATTAGAAGCCCGAAGTCGAAGACTGAGGGCTTTCGGAGTCGAGGTTCGTAATTCCCGTACCGCCCGTGAAGCATACAATATTTTTCATTACATTTGCGCGTAAACAGTATGAATGCATGCAAGCTAACTTGACTATAAATGCCCCAAATAAAATCCTGTCTTTTTCCTTCTCATTACAGCCATAGTCGTGTAATGAGAAGAAAAAAGGCCCGAGGTTTTTATTTGGGGTATTGTGGTCAAGTAAGCCTGCATGCAAACATAATATTTACGTGCAAGTGTGATGATAAAGTAAGTAATACTGCTAGTTCTTAGGTTTTCGCGATTATTACACATAGGAACTGAAACTATTTTTCCGGATTTAAATCGCGTATATTTTTTTTTTCAATCTGGGACTAGAAACGATCAAATGAGAAAAAATAAATACTGTATTTTTATGATGCTGATCGAAACAGTCAATTAGAGATTCCAGTTTCGATTCCCGGGCCGCGAGAAATAATTGTATGACCTACATTTATTTCTCTCGTGGGTTTGGGTGTAATTTGTGGTTGTCTGTGTGTACTCGTATGTCCATGGCACCCGCGATGGGCTATGAAAATAAAAAAATATAGTATTAATTCCTTTTAAGCGACGTAGTATCTTCATTTTACGTACTTAAAGAATAATAGTTAACCAATATTCAGTACCACTGCCGGGTACAGGCCTCCTCAAAGGGAACATGGCCTGTATTTCCCACGCGGGCCTAGCTGGTTGGGAACTTCACGCACTGCATTAAATTGCTTTGCAGATGGGTACAGATTTCGCGATGTTCACCTTCATCGAAAAGCTATGTTAAATTTCAAATGAAATTTCGCAAGTAACAAGCTCCGGGAAACCTAACCACTAATTACTATAACAAAGTTGAGATGTGATGACGCACATTAAGACCTACATATTTCTGCCGCCATGCAGTAATGTGAGCATTACTGCGTTCCGGTTTTAAAGGGTAAAGGTGCTGGTGAAATTACAGGCACATGAGACTTGTCAACTTATGTCTTAAGGTGACGGATACAGCGGCCTCTCAGGACATTGCGATTTATGCGTGAAACACACAAAGAGCGAGTGAGAGTCGGGCGTGCGTCGGGTCGGGTACACGGCGGGTCTAATAGTGTGTTCACGCGCGGGTGAAGGACGGGCGCTCGCGCCCTCTCTTGATTTGTTGCCGTCCGTACAAATACGCGGAATTATATCCGCCGTGCTTCCGACCCGACACGCGCCCGACTCGCACCCGCTCTCTGTGTGGTTCACGCTATAAAGCTCTGAGTGGCAAATATAATATACAGGCGTGTCGCTCACCACCATAAAGTATCATAAAAAAAGAATAAACTAAAATATTAACGTAGGCGACATGCTTTAAAATAAAAATAAATTTAAAACCGTCAATTAACAATCGAAACGAAAGGTGTAATTAGAGACAGAAAGTAAACCTTATTATATACACGTAATGTTGAGAATTAGAAAAAAAAACTAGATAGAGTCAGTTTAATGTGTTCTAACTCAATCGGTCTAGTATATCAAGAACACGTTACATGTGGTCGACACCAATTGGTCTAGAAAGTGCTGAGTCATTCAACGTGATATTACGAATTAACGATCGGTAAATGCCATCTGGACCGGCTCGAGATGACCCATTTATCGTAAATTTGTGTTATAAATTTATTATAAGCGCTAGATAGAATTCTTTAACATCATGTACAAAGGAAATATTTTTTTCAAATACCATGTGACGGGACGAACAAGTCTTGCGCCTGGTGGTAAGCGACACGATTGTCCATAACAGTTGCAGTGCCACAGAGCTTTAAGTCTTAAAGATCACTGCTACTGCGCCCGTCACCCTGAGATATAAGTTGACAAGTCCCATGTGCCAGTAATTTCACCAGAACATTTCCCCCTCCAAACCGGAACGCAGTAATCCTCACATTACTGCTTGGCGGCAGAATTTTTGCGGCTTTTTCTCAAAATACTAGCTTTGGTATTACATACAGTGTATTGGTTTGGCACGGCAGAATAGTGAATAAGTCAACGAGTAACTGCAAAGGAATTCTCAAACATTTTGCTCGCAAGTTCCCAATGGGCGTAGGCCCTTAAAATAATACTGGTAAAGGTGTCTTTCATTTTCAGCACCAAAGTATGCGTCCACGCACGCAAGTAGGCGTACACAAACGTGTAAGGTAATATAACAATTGCATTCCTAATAAAGCCTAAACGTCAAACTATAACAAGTAATTTTGGTTACAAATACTTGTTCTGGATGTAATAAAGCCATAGTCGTAAACAATGTTGGTTCTTTTGGACAATAGACTAGTAAGGCTTTGGTTGTGGTGTAATTATACGTAACTTGTCTAACAGTCACGTAAGCATAATAAGCCATCTATAAAGACAATACAGTAATAATGTAACATTTTTATAGCTATGTATAAGTTAAATATACTATATTCCGTGCGGGAAGTAAAACCAGGAACGAAATTCGTAGTAAACGTTCGAAAATAAGACATGCAACAATTTTTTATAGGTACATAACTACTAGTGACAAAAAAAAATACGAACAAATTGTGAGCGTTGTGGTAAGCGACACGCCTGTCCGTAACGTTTACAGTTACTTTAATCCTAAACATCTGACGGTCACTGCCACTGCGCCCGTGACCCTAATAGTGTTGGGTAGGAAATGAAATTAAAATGAGTTAGAGGGAGTAGCTCATTTGAAAAAATGAGGCGGTACAATGTCCTACTTCAAATTAAGTGCAATGGCTCAACAGACATGGAATATTGAGCACATTTTCATAATTTGATGGCATCAATCAATTGGATAACTTATTTGTGTGTACGTGTTATTTATTTAGTACTATGGTGTATGATCATATGATGTATAATCTCAGTACAGAATACTAAAAAAACCGACCTGAAAAGTACGTGGAATTACGCCTATTTGCTAAGTTTTATTGAAATATCCCCTAGTTCGCCACTATACAGGACTTGACACTGGAGATAATAAAAATAGGTTCTCACTACGACTCTACTTAAAGTATATTATATTGAGAGAAAAACGCCTTGAATGGGAGAAATAGCAAAACCAACCATTAAAGTAATTGCTCCTAGTTAGGCGCTATTTATAAAAATGAATCTTCATGCGTGAACAGCAACCCTTCGAGGTGGATGATTTTCTTCAAAATGAAATGAGACCACTATGAAGTACCCCCTTTCCAACAAAAAAAGAATCATGAAAATCGGTTCACAAATACCGAAGTTATCGCGTAACATACATACAAAAAAAAAAGAAAAAAAACATACAGTGGAATTGAGAACCTCCTCCTTTTTTGAAGTCGGTTATAAATCGTCTAAAAAGCGGGCAGTGCAGGACCAATAATTGTTGCATATGTTGAATTCGAAACAGTTTGACATGAGTGAGGCTGTGACATGGGGCTATGACATGAGGTGAGGTGTGAAGTGGGACATTTTTATGACATGAGGTGTTGTGACAAACTAACCAAGCGAGTGGTACAAACGAGTTGCCTCGTGTATGAGTAACCCAACACTACCCTGAGGCGTGTTGTTCACAACTTCCATCTGTCTGGAGTTTCATCAGTACCATTCAAAACCTGAACGCAGTAATGCTCACGTTACTACTGAGCGGCAGATATACGTACGGTGGCAGTATTTCCCTGGACCAACTATTTCACGAGCTAGACTGCTATTAATTTTAATTTAGTAATTTAAAAAAGGGAATCTATTACGAGGTCGTGCATCAACAAGATGGACCGATGGATAAAAACAGATGGAGGTAGATCACCAGCTTCAGAAGTACTAAGTTAAACAGACATGAAGGAACGATTAGAGAATGAGTAAATTAAAGAAGGTAAGCTAATGTAGGCAATACGAAGCAATGCCCCTATATAGTTAGTGTTCCGTTCAGTCCCTAGGTAGTACAAGACAGTAGTAGTACAAAAAAGTACTATAAATTTCTTAAACAAATCAATAGGAATCATGTCTTTATGGATCGTTCTCCATCAATGGAGATAAATCTATATAAAGTTATATGAAATTAAATTTTGGGGTAGGTGCCGACGACTCTTCATCCAGGGCAATCGTGAAACGATATGAAAATTTTAATGGTCTTTCCGAAAAGAAAATTAAAAGGAATACAGTAATAACAGATGACGTTGATAAAATTAATCGAACGACGATAAACACTTAAATTTGGTTGAAAAGAAGTTTAAAATAAAATAACATTCTTACATTAACGTCACAGTACATTAATGAACAGTTATTTATCTTAAGATGAATAGTAATATTTTTATTGAAAATTGTGATAAACATAACATTAACACGTGAAATAAAATAAAGTGGTTGTTCTTGACAGTCGTCTTAATAAATTGATTGGGGCAACGTATAAGCCTGTATAATAATAGTTCGGTTGATATTCAAAATTTGCCATTCACGAGGTTTAAAACTATAGTGAAACAAAAACTTGACACTGTATTATACAGCGTCTGCCTACTTGGATGACAAAAAGCCGTGGTAGTGACCCATTTAACTCTTGCAGGTTGTCTTTATGTATAATATTTGAAATAAACATTGTAAATAATGGTCTTTCTTTCTTATATATGCCCAGGAAAATTTCAGACATCATGTTTTTATATAAGTTAATCCATTGTCACATTGATTTGCCGGATATTTTGGAACATGTCAAGTTTTCTCTCCTTCGGAAAGGTAGCCGATTACAAAACCGGAAAACCTTTGCTCTGCCTGCATGTAAGACAAGTAAGTAAGTAAGTAAGCAAAACAGTAAGTTATCAAACATTTTGTTTTTGATTTATTTTTTGTTTTTAATTCATTTGTTTTTTAATTTAGTTTATAAACAGAAATTGGGCTATCCGAGTCCAAATAAGTTCGTAAGAACATTTACGTGAAAATTACACGCATGTTGTGCTTACATCTAGTAGGTTCCATTGTATTCGAATTGTATTTAAGCAATGTCTAGTTAAAACTGATCTCTCTAACCAGAAACTCTCTAACCTGTTTTGTAAGCCAAATAAAAAAAAAATGTATAGAAATGTTTATTTTTAAAGAGCACTAAACTCCAAGAGTTTCTTATTCATTCTTCACATGGGGCTTACAAATGAGTAGTAGAGTTATCAACGTGACGATTCAAATGTAATTTGCTTACCTAAGAAATAAAAATTATTTGTGTTTGACTTTGTAATTATCTTTATTGATATATTGATTGATCTATTCTGAGATGATTAAAACGAATACGTATTCGATTGTAGTCGACAATAAGTCGAATAATGGCAATGAAATAATACATAATGAAAAGTTTGATCATGCCATCAATGGAAACTTAAATGCGGCTCGTAAAGAAATTAAAGATATTGATGGAGCTGCAACTATTAAGTCTTGTACGATGATTGTAGAGAAAGTTGGTAATAGTATGTATTTTGATAACAAGTTTGTTGAATTGAAGGTACTGGTTCCTGGGAAATTACATATACTTATATACTTATAGTACGAGTGTAGTGATGTGTGTTATGGAAAGGAAATTGAGGCTTTAGTCCATTAAGGGAGACGTACCAAATATCAGATACTTTTTGAACATTCGAAAAAAACACTAATGTAATATTTAAAAATTTATATTTATTGCAGTCACAGTCATCTTCTATCTAAAGACTACATTAGAAAACGAATTAAACTTATATGTAGGTATGTTCATTTTATCAAAATCAACGATGTTTTCATACGTACCCTAATAATGCATATCCAGTACAGGGTACACTATTTAATATTGGATATCCAGTATAGGGTACACTCTAATAACCAGGCTATGTATTTAAAAAGATGCTTTTAAATTTGCAAAAGCAGTAAGCAAAAACAATCTAAACGTTTCTAATTAAACATTTGAATATGAAAGACACTATATAACGAGTGATGTAGGTACCCCAATATCGGATATTGTGGATACATAGGTATTCGATATTGAGGTAACTACCTAATTGTACAATAATCGGTTACGAAAATTTCACCCTGCGCAATTATCGCTAAAATGCGTTAACTTCTGTATTCTAACTATGCGCCTAGCTAGTATATAACATTGTCACAAAATATAATATCACATATAATACTCTAACAGCGTTTTGAAGTCAAGATCTGAATCTGATTTTGCCTTCAGTTCGCTGTCAACATTCACAGCAAACTGAAGGCAAAAATGGCGCAGACAACTACCAAAATATTGGTAACTTACATTGACGAAACAGTTCTAGTTTTTAAATAAAGATGGTGCTGTTTAGTTTTCATTATAGCGGGGTACCCAGTATTGTGCACGTATTCAATATTTGGGTACGTCTCCCCTACTATATTTTATTTTACTTATTATTTGTCAATGTAATGTGTACATTATTAAAACAAAGATCAAAACACTAAGAGAAATTAATTCGATCTGGCTGCTCAGCCAATTAAGCCATAGAACGAACCAGCAGACCTTACGAATTTTTGTATATGCCTTGTTGAATATCTTTGTTTTTGATTTTTAACGACTTTTTGCCGTAGCGCCATATGTGACAAATTTATTTCTTCACTTAGAGCGTTACCTTTACAGCTAGCATAACTGACTAGATATGTCTATTTAATTATTGTAATTTATATGGTTATTAAACGTCATTGATGTTTTACTACCATGATATTAAATATTTTTTTTGTCAAATTACTCCAATAGTTTGTTATAATTATTATAACAAAGAGGAGAGACACTAAGGCTCAACTCACACTGGCGCAGAGTCGAAGCGTCGCGTCACGTCCTGGTTCTAATTATAACGCAAGACGACGCGCGTCGTCGACGACACTCGCATTAGTGCGCCCGGATTACAGTGTGGTCGGCGTCTGACGCCTCACTGTGCGCAAGGAACGCACGCCAAAGCGCGTAACCGCTCGATTTTAACCAAGCGCCTTCCATATTTGCATAACACAAATTTGTACCTTAGTAATGGGAGAATAGAGATTAATATACTATAGGCGAAAAACATGACGCGTCGCGACGCTTCGACTCTGCCCCAGTGTTAGTTGAGCCTAAGAGTGGTTACACACGGCGGCTTTTAGCTGCGATAATTGCGACTTGTATCGATGCAGACAGTTCGATGCAGTCGCGCGTTTGCATCGCTGCTAAACCACTCTAAGATGTTAAATATTATTATTGAAAGGTCATATCTGAAAAAGGACAACTTTTCAGGAGTGAAGTTTAAAGATTCTACGAACGATATCAGCAGACTTCTTTTTTATGTTTAAATAGGAGAGCTGTAACATTTCACATATAGGTACATCATTTGATAAAAGCACTTTTTAAGTATGATCATGTGGCCTTATTGTACCAAAGGTATGACATATTGCTTCAAGTTTAAAATAACTGTTTGATAATGAAATGAATGAGCTGCAGTGGAATGTATTTAGGGTTAGGACAAGTATAATAACACTAAATTTGTTGCTATTATGTTTGACTATTTACGCGGTCAGTGCCAATTCTTTAGAATACATATTATTAAACTGCCTCCGTAGCCGAATGGTTACCATGTTGGTCTGCCACGCAGAGGTCCCGGTTTCGATTCCCGGACCGGGAGAAATACTTGTACGGCCTATATTTATTTCTCTCGTGAGTTTGGGTGTAATTTGTGGTGTCCTTGGCACCCGCGACACAGGATTTTCCTAGTGTGAGGCTATGAAAGTGTCAGAAAAAGTCGTTATTTATCTATTTATTAAATATATCGTCGTAAGACCATATGTACAGTAATACAGGATATGTGAACGATAAGAATGTATGATGTAATGTATTTGTAAATAAAAATATGTTCGGAAAAACCACATCGTATTACATACAGGAATCACTGTATAAACAAAAAGCATGAGATTCGCTGTCATAATTTCAATACGGTAAAAGTTAATTACAAAGAATGCAAAATTTACCAATAAAAGCAACGACATCCTGGATTTCGAACTCTCTATCTTTCAAAACAGTTCTGATGTTAAGCCATCCTTTCTCCTCTAATATGTCTATCAATTTGACAGTATCTTGTAAGTTTTCCTTCTTGCTACTTTTGTTTTTCGGCACTCTGCCGATATCTTCGTCGTTCTGGCTGTAGTATGGACACTTGACGCTTGTGTCGATGTACACGATCGATGGTGAAGTTATGAAAACTAGAAAAATGACGATCAACGTGTTACATCTATAGTCTCAAGTTGAGAGACTGATCTTGAAACGAACGTGGCCTGCGCTCTGACGCAATTAAGAAATAATATAATCTCATTGTTAGCAATATTCACATCGTACAAATTAGTATTATTTTCAGGGAATCAAGATAACAGTGACATGATAACTGATTATTATTTACTAAAAACCTCTATTTTTGGAAGGTGTTAGATCACGACAAGATTTAGTAAGAATATCCGGCAAAATGTCATAATAACATTGGACATCGAATGATTCAGCAAACCGGTTCGGCCGCTGGCGTCCGCGCAAGCCATACGTGTCTCAATTCGCAATCAACAGGTTAATGCCAACGTGTAACACCTTGATCGCCGCAGTTCCTGCGGAAAGTTCGCGGCCGCAGCGGCGGGCCCACGCCGCCGTTTACGGGGGGTTTCTCCGATATCATATTTCACCATTTTTCACTTCATCACATTTAGCTTTCAGTTCACTTCAAAGGCAACGATTACACTTCACCGACTCAGCCATCTGCGACACGCAATTTCCTTTTTTGTTCGTTCATATTGTTGAATGAAATTAGCACTGTGCATTGCATTGTGTCTATTCAATTTATTTCTAGTTACAGGTTTCCTCTACAAAAACGAGTCCAAGTTACAAGTCGATAAAAAACGAAGTACAACGCTCGCCGGCTCAGGGCCAACTGGTACCATTCGTATTTCCATCGAGACTTGAGACCAGCCGCTTGCCGACTCAATGCCGAGCTAAGCTATGAATCGCGTCTAGCACGACTGACATTGCTCTTCGCTTATACAACTGATTTGGCGTTGAAATTCAATTGGGAAGATGTATTTTTGTTACTTTTTCCAAGAAATTTGCTCCACTACATTTGTCACGGTCTAATAAAAGTATTCAAACAAAGAATCTTAAAGTTGCAAAGATATTGGACCAAAATAAGAATCTTTGTGAGAGCAATTACATTTTAAATCAAACTATAGACTAGTTAGTGTCTAAGAATAGCAGCGACTCATGCCGCAATTGCAAAATCAACAGATATGAACGCGTACAGCACGCCACATGGCGTTGCAATCAGAGCATTGCAAGTTGGGAAACAATGAAGGCTAATATAATCTGTTCCGAGGAAGGAGTATTTAATCAATTATGCTATATATTACATAGAATTAAATATTCCAAATACAATTACGGTCACCGGAGAGAATTTAGAAAATGTTAATGGCATTTAGTTCTATTAAAAGCGATCGTAATGTAACTAAAGAAGAAACATCTGTTTATTGTAAAGAAATTTTGGTTATTGTTCCTAACGCCGAGCTAAGATATCGTGATGTCAATGTTGATCGCCAATGAAGATTATACGGCACAGATCCAGTAATCGCAACCTGTGGATCGTGTGATGCACTTTCTAGGCCTCCAGATAGAAAACCGCGACAATAGCGACTTTGTTCACTGTTACGGATTACTGAAGTGTCTTGTGATCGAAACATAGTAATTTCGTTCATTTTTTGTCATAGAAAACGCTAGTAGAGCAACATGATTGCTGTGAATTATAGGTTATATAACAGCACTTAACTTTTTCGAAGACAAGAACGTTAATAACAGTAATTCATGCAAACGTTTCATGGTTGAGGTAATTTTTTAAGAATAATAATTAATAAAAAAAAAAAAATAATAATAATAATAATAAAAATTTTTTTTTTTCAATAATGAGGTAATTTTAAAGAATAAGAATAAGATAATAAACAAAATAAAATGCATGTACGCCAAATAAAGCAATTTGCATTATGAATTCCATTCAAATAGTGGCAACGTTCCGGGTAGCTGGGTACTCGATGAAACAAGACCTGACCAAGGATGCAAATCTGTATTTCAATGTGTGCACAGAAATACTGTAATGATATGCAACGTAATTTGTTTAAACATCTACACTAAACATAAATGTCTGCTCAAACTCAATTAATCTTTATTTTATAGGCAAGCAAATTACACTTGAAATCGTAACATTGATTTAGTTCTACTACTCATTACTTAAGGCTGATTCCCCTGAGCAGACTGAGAAAAACAATGAGGGGTTGCTCTTTGTAAATAAACATTTGTATACATGTATCATTTACAATATTTAATTTGATACATAGTGACAACCTGCAAGAGCTAAACGGGTTATTACCAAATAGAATATATATAAGAAATAATCTTAGTGCAAAGTTTTTGTTTCACTATAGCTTTAAACCTCGTTAAATGGTAAATTTTAAATACATTAATATTGCTTCTAACTATAAACTGAAAATCATAATTCTTCATTTACAGGTGAAGGTAACAGCAAAATAACTTTTCCTTCTTTTTTAGACAAACAAAAGGTCATGTTGAAGTAACTGGCAGGCAACAAAAACATTGCGAATTGTGGTCAGAGCCACGGTATTTACCAGGTTTATTATCTTCAAACATGAATATTGAGTTTGTCAAATCGCCTACTTTAAAATACTTTCAATAAATGGAGAAACAACGACCAACACGTCATTGCTACCGCAAATTAGAAATTTGCTAATGACTCATAATAGTTCGTTAGCTAAATTGGAAATAATATTAAAGAAACCTAAACAAGAAACTATTAGCTTGAGTGACAAAGTCAATAAAAATGGAAATGTCGACGTAAATTGCGTTGTTAAATAAGAATTTACGTTCAATTTCGAAGACTAGACTTTTTACAGTGGACAGCACGAGCCAAATACATGAAAATGTATGCATTAAGAGCAAGAAGCAGTTGCTTTAGCGAAGACTACCGAGCCTCGACGAAACGATAGTGTGTATTACCGATAAAGAAATACAAGAAAGTAAAGTAAAATACAGTAATAATAACACGACTCATAAGGCTTATTTGGTAGTTGTGATAATTAGCACGGGCATGGCAAATTTTGATGGGCAAAGACCGGCCGGCGGCGCGAGCGCAGATGTCATGCACTTGCGACATCCAACAATATGAACGAATATTTCATCACAGATACCGATGAATAACAGCACAAACTGGCGTAAATATTACTTCGTGAGCTTATTATATTCGCAATACTATTTTTGGATGTAAGCACGAAAATCCACTTTCACTGTCGCGGGGCGGAGTGCCCGAACTTGTCTGCGCGGTGCGTCCGTTCGAGTGCGCGGGCGCAGGGTTGACTCGCGCGCTTGCCGCCGTGAACCGTGCCGTCCCACTCCAACACCGCTCGCGAGCACCAACTGTAGCCACAGCGTGGGCACAACAGAATAGCCTTTTATGTAGCACCTATTTGGAAGTTTCATATTCGACCGGACCGCAAAACAACAACAGCGTAATCAATAACATCATTGTCACGCGATACAATCCAAAGTGCATCAGACTGGTCGTTTCCTTTGTTAGCTTTTGTTTATATTTTTGTTGTGACTTGAAACACCTATTGTGTCCTCGCTAACCTTTACACCAGTTTATACAATGCATATGCGATACTCACGTAAGGTAAGATCATTTAAAGTCGTAACTAACAGAAGAAAATAAATGGTTAAGGGAATTGTTTAATTACTTTCACATCCGCTATTAGAAAACGTCTTGACGGTACACAGTTGATAGTGGCTAACAGATCAATTTAAGCGCGGCTGCATTTCAGAAAACTGGTCCAGTTGGACAACAAGGAATGTTGGGCGATAAAATATCAATCAGACCGTAAATTACAAATTGAACAATGGCCACTGAAATAAAGGAGCCAGACACGAAATAGCAAAATTGTGTGTCGCAACAAGAGCCAAAAGTCAACAATGCAGAGCATATAGTTGTTAATTGTAGCCGAGATACAGTAAGAAATGTGGAACGATGGAAGTTTGTCGTGATCACATCTACTTTGGCGTGTGACATAACGTGTGTAAAGTCGCTTCAACTAGAGCGGATTAAATAATTGATCCCACGTTCGATTTCAACAACAATTCGGATGAAGTTTCGTGCAACAACAGCATTCTAGAACTAAAAACGTGAGTTACCAAATGATAGGGATTATTTTAACAGTTCATATTGCTTTAGCTGTTGCAAACCGAAAATTCAGTTCTATATTAGTACTTGTGGAGGTCAGCGAGGGGTCAACAGTTGCATAATGAGAAACACCAATGCTTATTCATATTTCTATAATAACCAGTGATTGAGGAATGTTAGTACTGTGGGGGAAAAAGACACACCGCAGCATGCTCTGTTCGAATGCAAGGCGTTTAAGAACGAAAGGCCGATGGCGCAAGATGAAAGGCTCTCTAAAGAGAATCTCGTGGCAACAATGCTAAAAAACAGAGGGCATTGGGAAAGATGTGAAGGGTACCTGAAAGTAGTCATGACTAAACGAGAAAAGGATGATCGAGACAGACAAGCCAATGACGGCGTCTGAGACATGCGCCTTTACGATGTAATGCGTTCGCGGTTCCATGAAAGAATGCTAGGTGAAGGGACTCCTCCCTTTTTTTTCCTCCGTTTTAGTCCATTGAGTAGTAACATCACCAGTTTAGTCGGGCATGCTGTATGGTACGGGCCGTACAGCATCCATGAGGATTTCCTCCTCCAGCGGAAAAAAAAGAATTAATGATAACCAGTGAATGGAAATGGTAGGATACGGCCAATATGTGGGTTTTTTATAAGACACCAAGTGACGCAATGACCAAATTGTTAACCAGGTGGTAAGCGATACGCCAGTCCATAGCTGCAGTGCTACTCAAGAGTGTTAAAAAATGTGAGTTGTAATTGCAATTTAATACATCCTGGTCTCGATTTTTTTCAAATCTAAAATCAGCTTGATTACCATTGCATTCAAGCTGTTCAAGCCTTTTTAATACTTAAGTGACAGACAGGCTTTTAAGGAGATTTGTCGAAGGCCGACAAATATATACGCAACGTCGATTTCCTGCTCTTAACATTTCGATTGCACTTCAAATAAGCTACAAAATTTAAACGAAACCGTGCATAGGTTTCACTTAGCGTAATATTGTGCAGTCGATGTCTTCACTGTTAGTAAAGTGTTATAAAAACTGCACCGATGAATAATAAATCAATCAGACATTCCTAGCTGTCACGGATTTTACTGCATATACTTTAAACAGTTATAATGTCTCAAATAAACATGTAATTTGCTCACCACCCAGGCAATGCAACCAAGTCGGAAGTATCTACGTCTGTTGCCATGTCCACGGGGTCATTTCCACATTAAACTAGCATCAAACACAACTCTTTGACGTAATAGCATCATTGTTCTATCAAAAACAGTTTCCCACCATTACGTATTTATTCATTATTTTGTTAAAAATTGCTTAGCGAAAGTCATAAATTATTTCTGCTGTACTTTTGGGATTCATTTCGTAACAGCAGGTTGCAACAAGTGATTGTTGGGTTTTTTTGAGTGTGTAGATTGTAATGTTTTTAATTTATCAAGGTGAGACCGATCTCTGACTTGGAATTTAAGCCGCTCCCATAAATCATCTGATTTCTCGTTTCGATCGATCGTCATGATAATCGT